ATACATCATCCCTCAACAAGACAGAAGGAAAAGCCCCTCCCTGAATTACAAAGCCTTTGATAAACATTGTCATTTGAATCTATTATATAGCTGCATGGCACAGAAGTGTTCCAGTGTTTGACAAAGCTGGCCTGTCAATAGCATTCCCAAGTGGAGCAACTGTGTGTTTTTTGTTGTGTTGCTACTAATGTTGCTAATGATCCCCACATTTGGAGTAACAAACACTGAAATCCTATTATTTACAGTAAGCTTTAAAGTGTGAGTGTCTGGAGGGAGGCAAGGATGAAAGCCAGGGTGAAGTGCTATCCCCAGACTGCTCCCTGTTCCCTTGTGACAGCACAACGGGGACATGCTGTGGATGGGTGTTCTTCTGCACATCGCCAGGCTATGAGCTTCCCCACATTCACACATGCTGGGATCTGTGTGGGATGTATGTGTGTGTTCATTGTGTATATACAGTATATGTAAAAGAAACTACAACATTTCTGAGGTGACAGTTTCCCGCAGTGGGCATGTGCACTTGTAGGCGAGCACCAAGGCAGCACTGAAGAGGCGTGTTTTCTTGCTAGGAGAGGGGAGCAAGGGGGTAATGAAATGACAGCGGATCATTAGACTGCGATTGCCTGCATCTTGCTAATTTATGCAAATTAATTTCTTGGCTGCTGTGAAAGGAGAGAGAGTGAGTGCCACTGCTTGGCCAGCAGTCAAGATCGAGCAGCGAAAAGGTTCAACTGTTGCACTCTGCTTTGGTGGTCTGGGAAGTTAACAGCGTAAGCCAGGGAGGGCTGTGGCATACCAAGCAACAATGAAAAAGAAATCCAGACTATGCCAGCCCTCTTCCTGGCAAGGCAGGCGAACAGACAGCCAATCAGGTATGTGCTGGCGTTCTTGCAAGCGAATGGCATGGCACGTTGGCCTTCTCGTCGCCCCGCCTCCCCCTCCCTGCTGCACCGCAGCCGCCCAGAATGATTTTCTAAACATTTTGCCAGTGGATCAATACCTGTATTGATCAACCATTGTGAGAGTGATCTGTCTAAAACCCAGAGCAGCCTAGAGCTCAGAGATGGGAGGAGCGAAAGATCGAGGCTGCAGAGAGGAAGGAGAAAGAGAGAGAGAGTCTGCAGCCACAGTGAAAGGGAGAAGAGGTACAAGGGAAGAGAAGAGAATCTGAGAGAGAAGCAGACGCAGAGCTGAAGGCAGGTGGAGAGGCAGGTTTCGGACAATGCTGCCAGGCCAGTGGGATTAGGGAGAAGCCTATGGTAATTGCCGCCTCATTAAGGGAGGGAGAGGTGGGGCGAGTAATGACTACTGCGTTAAGTATGCGGGTAAGTGACAGATGGAGAAATAGTGCAAAGTAATGTGTAAGTGTACAAGAAAGGGAGTGATTCTCTTACCTCAGATTACTAATACCTACACTGCTTTGGCCTGCCCTGTGGCACTTTCAGGTACATTGTTGCATGTGTAGAAGTGTGCATGCTTGCATGAAATTCAACAGGATTCAATATTAGGAAGGCTGGAACTGGTTAAATGTTCAGCATCAAGAAAAAAGCAATTCTTTGAATTTATTTATTATTAATTGTATTTTGGTTTGTTATGTTTTGTCTAGAAAGAACTCTCTGTGGACCAAAGTAGCTAGGATGTCAACGAGCTGCCTTGGCTTGATGACAACATGGGACAGAGAAGGCCCAGCACATGCTGTGATCATGAATTCAGCTGTTACAGTAAAATAAAAACTGGAAATTTCTGAGAAAATCAAAGACCTTATGAAAAGGAACAGTCTGCATCCTGGATATAAACATCCACGAGGAAGTAACAGGAACATTTATGATCAAGGCAAAGTTGAATGTATAATCAACAGTGAACCTCAGAGATGAAAATGGCTGCAAGAAGGTTGTGTAACCTGTGGCAAATAACAGATTATTGCTGTTTTGAACTGATGTGGATATAGCTAGCTTTGGGATGTTTTTGACACTTTGACAGTTCATTAAAATGGATTAAATTTTTTATTATATTTTGTTGGAACTATCACTGAACAGACAACTGACTGGACCACTGAACGACAGCAGTGAATGTTTGATTTAAGGCCCCAAGTGGTGGTGCACTGGAGGAGGAGTCAAAAGGCTTTTGGGATCATCCGCCAATGCTTAAGGAAAATCAAGTTTCCATTGATTGATTTTAAATGTGACTTCCTTGTGAATAATTGTGGATGTGAGGGGAGATAATTCCCTCAACAAACTGTAGGGAAGACCCTGATGCTAATGAACTCACTGAGCACTGGAGCTCTGGTGTGGGAGCACTCAGAGAAAAAGGCCTACACTCTTTAGGTTCATACCTCCATGAACACGCAGTTGAATAAAAAGAATGAACATTCTATGCCAAGAGCCAGAATCACCTATATATAATTTTGTTAATAAACTGTAGAATACATTAAGCATTCCTGTGTGGTGCATAATGAAATTCTCTTTATACATACAAACACAAAGAAAATACGGTTGTTGATAGGCTTCAATTAAACTGTGGCTTTTTTCAATTTAGGAGAAATAAAAGAAATCAAAATGTTTTCCAAATATTTAATAACTTTTTTTTAGTTGCTTTGTTGTTGTGAACATTTCCTCACCACACACAAAAGTGGCTCATTTAACATGTATCATGCACACTCTT